GTGACCAGACGTCCCGCTTTTTGGCATTTTTTAAAAGTCCCGATTTTTGGAAAGAATGCACGACAAGCTAGGGAACAGTGTATTTGGTCCCTATAGACCAAATTTTTCATCAAGAATTCCCCTCCAATGGTGTCCCGCTTTAAATCTGGTGAGGAGGGAGGGGAGGGCTACGCCATCATAGGCCAGGAAAGAGGGAGCCAAGAGGGCTGTAGTCAGAGAAGGACCTCAGAAAAAGCAGGGGTTAGAATGGTGAAGCTACAAGCCAAAGGGTGCTGGTGGCTTCTCCACTGATTCCGCGCTCATCTCAGGGTAGAACGCCCTCGTGAGAGCCACCTCCCGGAGGACAAGCAATAAATGTGTGCCGCTTGAAGCCATACTACGTTTCCGGTGATTTGTTCCCACTGCAGGAGGGAGCTCATTTCCCATGTGAAGTCTGACCCTCCCGTCACTTTGCATGCCGGGCCCTGATCCACTGCCGGTGTTAGGAGCTGCTGGGGCTCATTTGACCCCAGGGCCCTCATGAGATGTAGGTTTGTTGGGGTGGGTGTTGTTTTTCTCTGTCTTTTGGATCCCTGGTGGCATAGTGGTTGTGTGTTGGGCTGTTAACCTGGAGATCGTCAGTTCTAAACCACCAGCGGCCCTTTGGGAGAAAGTAGAGGCTCTCTATTCCGGTGGACTCTGGGAACCCCACAGGGGCAGTTCCACTCTGTCCTCGAGGGGCGCTGTGAATCTGGATTGACGCGATGGCGTGGCGCCTTTTCTTTTTGTTGCTGTAATCCACTTCATCACTGGAAATACCTTTGTTGTTCTGACAGTATAAATGGTGACTAGAGAGCCCTAACGGTGCTTGTCTGCTAATGGAAAGGTAGCCAGTTCGAACCCACCAGCTGCTCGTTGGGAGAACGCTGTGGCAGTCTGATCTTATGAACATGTCAGCCTTGGACAATTGGTGGGAGCAGTTCTTACCATTTCGGATATGGGGTTGTCTTGAGGGGGGTGAGTTTTGGAATTGGGGAGGGGGGTGAGTTTTGGAATTGGTAACTGTATACAGCAACCTCAACAGATGGAATACGTAGGGATCAACCAGACTCCAGCTGTGGAAAGAGACAATAGGGCAGATCCGTCATGGGAGCAGTACAGACAGAATGCTCCTTAGAAGCTGGGACTGGGAGATTTTGTCTTTGAATATGCTATTAGGCTGTTATGGGTTCAAATAAATGACAGCCACTATAATGTCTTGGTCATTTAGAAGAGTCTTTATTCATTTATAACTGGACTTCTAGAATCTAACGGCGATTCTTTGATTGCAGTCCCGAGTCAACATTTCAGTCCATCTTTAAAGACAAAAAACCTCCTTTATCCTTTGGCTAAGACTGAAGCAAATGTGGAAAGAAGCAGAAAGCAAAATTAATGTTACTATTCCTTACATTTAGTGAGCGTGACAGAGTACAGCATTGATTATAACTACCTGGTTCCTGGTTACAACATCAAAAGGAACAATGTAGCTGCCGTCCTCATTTGTACAGTGATGAGTACCCCCTGCCTGTCCAAAGGAACAATGTTATTAATTACAATGTTCTGATCTTGAGAACATGAGGGGACGTTCTAAAATCAATCCCTAGTGGGACTTTCCAAGATGGGAGGGGGGTGGGGAAAGAGGCCGGTCATTCAGCAGCTAACAAAAATGAAGTTTCTTTTGCTCGACTGCCTCAAGAAGAGACCAGTCCTTTGAGAAGGACATCATGCTTGGTTAGAGAGAGAGTAAGTAAAGAGAGAAAAAGACCATCAGATATATAGATTGGCACAGGGATTGCAACTAAGAACTCCTGGGAAAGCAGACATTTTATCAGACTTGTTCTCCAGTGAGTCTCCGGTCACTGAGCATAAATGTTTAAGGAGAATAAACATTTATGAAGGGAAAAAGGATACTGGGGCAGCAACAACGTGTATGGGGGAGATGTGTAAACTACATAAGGAGTCCTTTTGATTTATTTAAACGTTTTATTGTGAGTTAGGTGGAGGTTTACAAAACGTTCACGGTGACCCTGTATGACAGGGTAGAACTGCCCGTGTGGTTTTCCCAAGACAAAATCTTTATGGAAGTAGAAAGCCTCGTCTTTTTGCCAAGGAGTGGCAGGTGGTTTCAAACCAACGACCTCCCATTAAGCAGCCCAACGTGTAAACACTAGGCCACGAATGACCTGCATGGCAGTGATTTTTCCATTCAGTAATTTGTGCACGTTTTGTTTCATATTGATTGCAGTATCCCATCACTTAGCCCACTTCCTCCTCGTATTTCCTGTTTTCATTCCTTCTCTCCTAACTTCTCTGAATTTTCCAACATTAACCTTGAGTAAATGATGCCCCTTTTATCTAAAATAATTGATTAGTCTAAGGTGTGTGTCCTTTTTAAAAGGTAAAATGCAGGCAGACAATAAAGGGACTTTTGGAGATGGAGCTCAGGTGAGGTATAGTGGTCATGTGTTAGGCTGCGATTTGCAAGGTCAGCAGGTGGAAATCACCCGTCACTTTCT